AGTGAAGAGCCAGAGCGAGGAGGGGTTGATAGCATTGGGGTTGGGGGTGGAGCTGGGCAAGCAGGAGTGGCTGCCCAGTGGAAGGGACAGTCCTGGGCAGGGTATCTACATGGGTTTTACTTTTTTTATTTTTTTAAGATTTTATTTATTTATTTGAGAGAGAGAGAATGAGAGATAGAGAGCACGAGAGGGAAGAGGGTCAGAGAGAGAAGCAGACTCCCTCCTGAGCAGGGAGCCCGATGTGGGACTCCATCCTGGGACTCCAGGATCATGGCCTGAGCCGAAGGCAGTTGCTTAACCAACTGAGCCAACCAGGCGCCCTCTACATGGGTTTTATTAATTTATTTATTCATGCAACAATATTTGGTGGACATCTGCATGTGCCAGATCCTGTGTTAGGTGGGAGTGGTTTACAGGGATGTCGTTGCCCTCCTGGAATGTATGGCCATGCTGGACTGGGGCTAGCATAGGTTAAGAAAAGTCTCCTTGGGGCGCCTGGGTGGCTCAGTCAGTTAGGCGTCTGCCTTCGGCTCAGGTCATGATTCCGGGGTCCTGGGATCGAGCCCAGTGTCGGGCTCCCTGCTCAGCGGGGAGCCTGCTTCTCCCTCTCCCTCTGCTGCTCCCCCTGCTTGTGCTCACTCTCTCTGTGTGCCAAATAAATAAGTAAAATCTTAAAAAAAAAAAAAAGTCTTCTTAAAGGAGATCAGATATTCAGTCATGTGATGAAGGGAGAAGCAGAGAACCACTGAGGCAAAGGGAACTGCACAACTAGAAGTCATGAAGCACAAATTACCTTTTGATCAAGGAACAGAGAGAAGGCCTACGTGGGGCTGGAGCCCAGTCAGCAAAGCCCAGTTTAAGATCAGGCTGGAGCCAGAGGACACAGGGCTTTGTAGCCATGCTAAAAAGTTTGAACTTCATCATGAAAACAAAGAGAAATCATTGAAGACCAGAGGACTGACAAGATTGGTACATTTTAAGAAGGACAATGGGGGGATGCCTGGGTGGCTCAGTCGTTCAGCGGCTGCCTTCGGCTAAGGTCATGATCCTGGGGTTCTGGGATCGAGCCCCATGTCAGGCTCCCTGCTCAGTGGGGAGCCTGCTTCTCCCTCTGCCTGCCACTCCCCCTGCTTGTGCTCACTCTGTCAAATAAATAAATAAATAAAATCTTAAAAAAAAGAAAAAGAAAAAGACAATGGATTGGGGGTAAAGCCTGAAGGAGAGAGCATTTGGAAGTTGCTGTTGGAGACAGGATGAGAGCTGATGATGGGTTAAGAGAAATGGAGGTGGTGGGCAGTGGGGAGATTCAAGAAGAGGTTTGGGGGCAGAAATGATATGGACTCGATATGAGGGATAAAGGAGACAGCGTGTCAAGGAGACTCTTAAGCTTCTGGTGCAAACAACTGTGTGGAGTGTGGTGGTGGTTACTCAAGATGGGGTGTGTTGGGGGAGAGGCTTATTTGGGGACCTATCAAGTGTGAGATGGTGTGAACAGAGCTGGTACAAGGTCCGCTGAAACTGGATGTTAGAGGTCTCTCTTCTTCTCTACCTGTTCCTTTTTCCTCCTTCCAAATATTGGTCCCTTTCTGTCTTGTAACACTGCCTTATTCTTTCAGAATTTTCCATGTGGTGTGTGGAAGATGATACTAACATTTTCGAGGTCATATCCTTCTAGTTCTTGATCTAATGGGAAAGAGGGCTTCCCTTCATTTCCAATTCAGAAAGTTTTAGGGAATGGGTGCCTGGGTGGCTCAGTCAGTTAAGCTTCTGCCTTCGGCTCAGGTCATGATCCCAGGGTCCGGGGATCAAGTTCTGAGACCAGCTCTGCTCAGCGGGAAGTCTGTTTCTCTCTCTCTCTCTCCCTCTGCCCCTCCCCCAGCTTGTGCTCTCTCTCTCTCTCTCAAATAAATAAAATCTTTAATAAAAGAAAGAAAAAAGAAAGTTTTAGGGAAGGACTCCAATTGGTTCAGCTTGGGACTGCTTCTTAGCCAGCAGTCAAGAGAATGTAGTACTTGACTGGTCCAGCTTGGGTCCCACGTCTCTCCTGTTTTTGTTTTTGTTTTTGTTTTTGTTTTGTGGAGAGGAGAGGGCAGAATACTGTAATTGATAGCCTCCTCGGGACCTCTAGGGGGTACAGGGTAGGGAGGAGCAGTTTCCTAAGGGGAAGAGACAGTGCTGGACTGTCAGAACTAACAGATGTTCCCTACATCCTAAACCTTGGGTCAGTGTTTCATTCTAAGACCCTACAGATGGGTGGAGCCTGAGTCAATCCTGAAGTAATACTCTTGTCTAGAAAGGAAGAATTTTCCAGCTCGGAGCTGATAGGGTAGCTGAGGGACTGACTGTGATGATGAACTTATTGTAACTTTGAACTATAAAAACAATAGATTTATGAAAAATTTGAAAAAAGGAAAAGCATCCATTATTTCACGCGGACACATTTTCATCTTCTGCATTCCTTTTCCACCTTTATCCTTAAGCATATGTCTTTTTTTTTTTAAAGATTATTTATTTATTTATTTATTTATTTGAGAGAGAGAAGCAAGAGCAAGGGGGAGAGGGAGCTCCTCCCTGAGCTGGGAGCCCCACACCAAACTCGATCCCAGGACCCTGGGACCATGACCTGAGCCGAAGGCAGACGCCCAACTGACTGAGCCACCCAGGCGGCCCAAGCGTATGTCTTTTATTTTATTTTTTTTTGAAGATTTTCTTTTTTGGGACACTTGGGTGGCTCAGTGGGTTAAGCGTCTGCCTTCAGTTCAGGTCACGATCCCAGGGTCCTGTGACCAAACCCCGTGTAGGGCTTCTTGCTCAGCGGGGAGCCTGCTTCTCCCTCTGCCTGCTGCTCCTCCCTGCTTGTGCTCTTTCTCTCTGTATCTCTCTCTCTGACAAATAAATAAATAAAATGCATACATTTTTAAAAAGACATATGCTGGGGCACCTGTGTGGCTCAGTTGGTTAAGCGGCTGCCTTCGGTTCAGGTCATGATCCCAGGGTCCTGTGATCCAGCTCCCTGTCAGGCTCCTTGCTCAGCCGGGAGCCTGCTTCTCCCTCTCCCTCTGCAGCTCCCCCTGCTTGTGCTGGCTCTCTCAAATAAACAAATAAAATCTTTAAAAAAAAATGCGTTTATACATTATGTCTTGAATACCAAGCAACTTGTTTAGTTTTAATTCATTTGTTTAAACATCAATATTTACATCATAATTTGAATGTGTACATTTTTTGCATTGGTGTGCTATGGGAAACTTGAAGGATCCGCTGGTACAGTGTGGGCAAATATTGGTTGAGCCCTTGCCGTGGGCATAGTAGCCTGGATACTAATGGGGATACAGACATGACTAGGACCTATTTCTGACCTTTGAGTTCATAATCTCATGACTTCAATTTTTTTTAAGATTTTATTTATTTGACACAGAGAGAGAGAGAGACAGCGAAAGAGGGAACACAAGCAGGGGGAGTGGGAGAGGGAGAAGCAGGCTTCCCGCGGAGCGGGGAGCCCGATGCGGGACTCGATTCCAGGACCCTGGGATCATGACCTGAGCCGAAGGCAGTCGCTTAACCAACTGAGCCACCCAAAAGTCCACCTAATTTTGATAAAATATTCCTCAGTTGTAACTAAAATAGTTATGAACTCAAAAAGAGTAATATGGACATTACAAAATGTAAACACAATAAAGTAAAAAAAAAAAAAACTCCTATTCTTCTCGCATAAGGATGGGGAAGAAATGTGAGGGGAGCGGAAGAGGATGGGACTGAAAAGAGGTGAAAGGAAAGGCTGGAAAAGCCAGGCAGGAGGGCTTCTAAAGTGTGGTTAGCGTAACACTATGTAACTGTTAAAAATGTTGAAAGTGAGGCCATTCTTAAAGACACGCGTCCCTTTAAAAGGGAAAGTGGGTGTTCAAAGCAATTCATATTTTGCCCAAGAAGGGCTGTTTCTCCCTGGATTCTCTCCAGTCAGAGCCTTCTAGCAGACAAACATTTTAATCATGGACCCTTTCTCCCCAGGAAAATGTACTCCCCACCAAGATACATGATGTTTTAAGTTGAACGGACCCACGGAGGCCCATCCCTGAGCTTTCTGGGCTCCGTGGATCCCAGGTTAGACAGGCGTCCAATTCAAGAGTGGGCCTAGCAGCTTCAAAGGTAGCTGTGTTCCCAGTTCCACCGCGCAGGAAGACCACGCCTCGAAATGTTTTGCAACCTCGTCCGTTTCAGATTTTTAGGGGTCTTGGAGAAACCGGCCTCACCGAGGATTCCGCCCCGTCTGACCGCTCCCATTTTTAAACACAGACTCGTGTGTGGGAGAGGCCATTATTTTTACGGGATCTCTGTGCCTCTGGAGCAGCTAGGGACGGGCAGACTCGCTTCACCGCAGAACCAGCTCCATCCTTAATCCGCCCTCAGCTCCGCCCTCAGACCGCCCCTGCCCACCCTCCCCGCCCCCGCTCCCGCTCCACCCCTTGGTTCTGAGCGCGGCTCGGCCGCTACCCACGGCCCTGTTTCCACCCGCCCATCTCGTGGCCCCGCCCCGGGATCCCTGGCCCCACCTTCTCCCGAGGAGCCCAATGAGCGTCCCCGCGCTCCCCCCAGTACCCTCCCCGTAGGCAGGAGGCCCCGCCCCATGGGCCGATTTAACCAATGGGCGTCCCACGGCCCCGCGGCCCCGCCTCACCCTCAGGTCCCTCCCCTGGCGCCCGGCCCTCCTTCCCCCCCAAGTCCCCCCACACACACCCCCGGGCCTTGCGGTGGCCGCGCCTCCTCCGCCCGCGCGGAGCCAGGTGCCGCCCCCTCCGCCGGTCCCTCCCCCGGCGGCCTGGCGCCTCCCTCCCTCCCCGCCGCGGTGACTCACGGAGCGGGAGGCGGAGGCTCTGGCGGCCGCTCCCGCTGCTACTGCTGCTGCCGCCGCCACCACAGCCGCCGCCGTCGCCGCCGCCACTGCTGCTGCTGCCGCCGCCGCCGCGGCTGCTCGGGCTGAGCGCGCCCCGGAACAGGCCGCCGCGCGCCGTGCGCGGACCCGCAGCCCCCGCCGGCCCGGCCGGGTCGGGCGGCCCAGGTAAGCGCCGAGGCCGGCCCCGCGCCCACAGCGCCGCGCCGGGGCTCGGGGGAGCCGCCGGCCCTTTGTCTCCCGGGGAGGGGCCGCGGAGGGCGCCCCTGACCCCTCTCGGACCCGCTGGCTGGCCCCCGGCGCGGCGCCCTGGTCTGGGCCCGGCCTCCTCGCCCCGCCTGGTCGCCGCCGCCTCCCGCCGCTCGCCGCCCGCGACCCCGCCGCAGACCACCCTCCAGCCGTCCTCACCTTCGCCCCGGGGTCGCCTCCACAGGTGTCCGAGCCACCCACTCTGTGGTTCACCCCACCGCGTCGGCGCGGTTGTCACCGTCTGTCAGCACTCCAGGTCCCGTGCCCTCCTGACCGTCCCCTCACTTGCTCCCCACGCTCAGCATCCCGACCCTCTGTATAGAGCCCCTCCATATTTCCCCAAAATAAATGCTGCTAAGGTCTGGCCGCTGGGCCGCCCTTCCTCTCTCTCTCGTGTGATTGAACTGTCGCTTCCCCATTCCACCTCTCCTGGTGAGTGTTCCTGGATGGTGCACATTGCAGGCACATGTTTCACCTGTATGGCGGGTGTGCATTCGTGAGCCTGCAAAATGAACCACTGGGAGCCCCAAACTGCACTTGTCATCTCCTTTTCATCACCCCCACCCAACCACCTTCCTCATTCTTGAACCTGGTAACCGAGGCACATAGATTGGTCTGGACACCCAACCTCTGTTAGGCCCCCCATGCCTCCCTCTCTCTTGTGTGCTGAACTTGTCTGAGCAGTACCTGCTGTCAGGTTAGCCCCTGGGAAGGCGGAGGAGGCTTGCCTTGGCAGCAAATCAAGAGTTTTATGAATAATGAGATGTGTGGCTTGCAGCACCTCCTATCTGAGAATCTAAGTAGGCTGTAGCTGTTAATTATTTTGTCTCCTGTCACTCAAAGAACTTAGGGAAGTGTGCCTGGCCGGCTGCTGGGTAAATTGAGGCACGGGGTGTGTCAGTATTGGACCTGCAGGCAAGTCAGAGTTTGTTCTGAGATTTTCTTCCCAAGTGCCTTGGCTCTTAGCTCCCTGCTGCAACAACTGGGTTTTTGTTCCTGGTTTTGGGTAAACTGAGGCACGGGGTGTGTCAGTACGGGACCTGGAGGCAAGTCAGAGTTTGTCCTGAGGTTTTGTTCCCAAGTGCCTTGGATCTTAGCTCCCTTCTGCAACTACTGGGTTTTTGTTCCTGGTTTTGGGTAAACTGAGGCACAGGGTGTGTCAGTATGGGACCTGGAGGGAAGTCAGAGTTTGTCCTGAGGTTTTGTTCCCAAGTGCCTTGGATCTTAGGTCCCTTCTGCGACTGCTGGGCTCTTGTTCCTGGCTCTAGACCCTAAGTGATACTCATCTTTTGGGCCATTAAAAAATGTCCAGAGATACCAGTTTCCTCTGATTTAAAGTAGGACTTTGAATCATAAAAAAGGTGCTAGCTGTTAAATGTCAGTGTGTCATTCATGGTTTTCTGGTGGAGTTAGTGGGCTTTGTAAATACAAGTTGCCTCTATAAGTTGGAGACTCATCCATAAGTGGTGAGTGCTCACTATGTGACATGCACCATACTGAGCACTGGGGCTCCAGGGGTGAAAACAGACCCAGCCCCTGCCCTCCCGAAGCGGACACTCTAAAGAGGAGGGAGTAAACAAATAAGCAGACAAAGTAATTTTAGTGGCGTTAAGTGCTATGAAGAACCAGTTTGGATCGTATTCCAAGTGCAGTTAGAAGCTGTTAGAGGATTTTAAGCAGAGGTGATAAGATCTAAGCTTTCAAGGATCCGTTCTGGCTGTTGTATAGAGACTGGATTGTAAGGCGCAAAGGTAGAAGCAGGGATACCAGTTGGGAGATAGACGAATGCAGCTTCTGGGCAAGAAATGGTGGTGGCCTGGGGGACCAGGCTGGTGGTACTAAAAGTGAAGTGAAAAGCAAAACTTCAGGAAACACCGACTCAGATTTATACGTCTAGCAGATAATTTCTATGTCATACTCAGGTTTAGTTCAGCTAACCTTGCTCAACCCCATATTGTGAGCCAGGTACTGTGCTAGACTGTAGGGATATAGACAAGAACAAGGTGAATAGGGAGTGGGCCCCCCGTTATAACGATGTGCTCACGGAAGGGTCACCCCCTCCTTGATGGAAGAGGGTTTGTGGGTTAAAAAACCAGTTAAAGGTGGAGGAGCGCAGAACACACTGGGCTTCGTTCCCATATCTGGCTGCATTATTGGAATGAGAGTATTTTTATTGCCCTGCCGATGCTGTAAGATGTTGCTCAAAGAAATTGGGACTGTTCTCATGGTAGATGAGACGACCAGTCAGTGGCCATGCACTTGAACTATTAACCAGAATAAAACTTGATCTCTGTGCTACTCCCAAACTGTGCTATCAGAACATGTGAGAGGCAGAGGACCTTGGGGGTTGTGTAGGCCAGCCCCCTCTTTTCTGGCTGGGGACCTGTGGCCCCTAGAGGCTACGTAACTCCTGAAATCCCATAGCAGTTTGTACATTTTTTAGTGGCACCTGCCAATTTCGACCTCTGTTTCAGCTTCAAGTGTACCTGCATGACTCTCGGCTTTCTGAGGCTAGGGTCTCTGGTGGATTCATCTTTGCATTGCTCCCAACGTCAAGCTCAGTGTCCTGCACAGAAAATAAACTCATCAAATATTAGTTGACTTGTCTGGGTGTCTCAGCACCTAGAACTAGAAGCCAGGAATCCTGGCCCCGTCCCTGTCTTGTCATCAGACCACACCTCCCTGCAGATCCCTCCTCATGCAGGGCACAGTACAGTGGTAAAGCCAGCCGTCTCCACCTCACTGAGCTCACAGAACAGGGCAGCCCCTCCTCAATGGATCTGCTCTCTCTGCAGCCCTGCCTACAGAGAACAGCTGTGGGCGCCGCTGACCGAGTCCTTATTCAACACTCAGCAAAGCGGAAGTGTAGCTCTGAATCAGAGCATGGACTTTGTGCCAGGACTATCTGGGTTTGGATCTTGGTTTCTGCCATTATAAGCTACGTGACCTTCAGCAAGTAACTTAACCTCCCGGTGCCTCAGTTTCCCCATCTGTAAAATACTAATCCTTCAGGGAGTGGTTGGGAGGCTTAAATTAGGTCATACCCATCAGATGCTTAGAACAGCACCAAACACTTAGTATGTGGTTGGTTGAAGTAGTGGTTATCATTCCACTGTTATTTATCTGTTTCTTATTTGCCACCAGAAGCTCTTTGAGGGCAGAGATTTTGTCTTTTTTTTTTTTTTTTTTTTTTTGGTCTACTGTTGTAGTCCAGTGTCTAAACTTTGTAGGCACTCAGTAAATATTTGTTAAATTGAATGACGTACTGAACACCTACTTTATGCCAGACCCCGTGGTAGGTGCTGGGGGTGTATAGCCAAGAACAAGGTCACCAGGATCCGTGGTCTAATGTAGATTATACTCTGGTGGGAGAGACAAACAGTACATAGGTAAACAAAGTAATGCAGGGTGGTGAAAAGAGATATGGGGAGAATAAAGCCGGGCACTAAGACGGAGATGACTGGGATAGGGGTTGGGATCAGAACTCTAGCTCGCTCTCAGAGGGCGACTTTGAACGGGGACCCGGCTGATGGGCACAGAGGACAGCCGGAGCCCTAAGTCCGGTGGGGCTGGAGTGTGGTAACCGAGGAGATGACAGGGGGCTGGATCTGTGGCCGTGGTGAGGAATTTGGATCTTACTCATCAATTCTGAACAGTGGGAACTCACTGCATGGGAACTTTTCCTTGAGGGTCCATGCTAGGAGAAAGAGCAGGATGCTAGGAAGAGCAGTGAGCGGCTTCTCCTTGTCCTGGGAAAGCTTCTGGAGGCCAGCAGGCCAGCAGTGTTGACTTTATTCCCATCAGGTTCCTCTTTTCTCTGGCCTAGGTGCCCAGGAGATACAGGAGCCATCAGCTAGGCTAACAAAGGCCCAGGTGTGCGTGCGTGTGTGTGTGTTTATGTCCTGCAGATTCCTTTGAGCCTTCTTCCTCACACCTCCCCCCCGCTCCGCCAAGAATGAGGATAATCAGTTTCTTGAGTTGAACGAATGAACATTGCCTGTTCTTAGCATCTTGCCTTATACCGTGGCGTGTCGTATGTTCTCTGCTCTTCTCTGTATGAGTTAAAGCTTCTTTTTTTTTTTTAATTAAATACCTCTCCCACCTTTTTTTTTTTTAAGATTTTATTTATTTAGAGAGAGAGCACAAGCAGGGGTAGCAGCATGCAGAGGGAGAGGGAGAAGCAGGGTCTCCGATGAGCAGGGAGCCCAATACAGGGCTTGATCCCAGGACCCCGAGATTGTGACCTGAGCCAAAGGCAGATGCCTAAACTGACTGAGCCACCCAGGCGCCCCGAGTTAAAGCTTCTTATCTTGGCAGTGACACTGAAATAACGGAGTTTTGCTGTTGGTCTTCATGTGTGCATCAGGGATGTCCACACACATGTATGTCACAGCATCTTTGTTGAGATTGACTGGGTAGCTGTCTCCCTCCAGCCCACCACCACTTCTCTTCCAGGCCCCTGTTCAGTATCACCTGGCCCTCTATAGAGAGTCTGGCCACACCTGTCACCCATGAACACCTCCTGTTTGAGCAGGAACACAGTGGTACCTAGAAGGCATTGGCTGTCTTGTCTTTGGTCTGGGCTGAGAGCAGTTGGGAAGCTCAGCAGAGCACTCAGAGAAATGGCATTTAGAACCCAGGGGTTCGGTTGGCCAGGAATCCAGAGTTGGCCTCGTTAGATGGGGTGCTGTTGGCCGGCTTCTCATTCAGGCATCCCCCTTGTCACTTGGTGTTCATGATGCCACTTGCTCTGCTAACCTTGAGGGGCCAACACAAGTCAGTGGGAATCTAAACTTGGTGTTGGCAAGTCACTTTCAGGCTCCTGGGACATTTCATTGGCAGAATCCAAAATGCCTGTTAGTCATATGTCATCTGCAGCCTTGTAAAAACTAAGCCCAGGGTGGGTGCAACCCTTTTTT